AAGGCACATTGTTGTGAGTTTATAAATACACTAACTGACAATACAGAATGTATATCTATTGATAGTCATAATTGATAATAAACAATCCGTGACTGTGATAGCAATATCATAAAAAACCAATTAGCTACCTGTATTTGTAATCCCTTGTGTATTATACCTATATATTAACTCAAAAAATTGAAACTTTAAATGTTGATATCTAATAAACGAATAAAGTTATATTAAAAATTCAAATGGCATTTGTTATTAAATTAAAAACTCAAACATTTTATTAAATTCAAAATATGTGTTATCATTTAAAAAAACAAAGTTGACACCCTTACCAGACATAAGGGATGAACTTAAAAAGTATTACATAGTTAATAATTCAAGAATAATGTGTAACTAAAGATAGTAATAAAAAAAAATGTTTTAAATATTATTATTCTGTAAGTAATTGAGTGGGTTATGATAAAAAAATCACCCTGTATACACAGAATAATTAAGTAGTCGATTATTGGGTAAGAATAATTTATAGTTACTTATCGTTAGAAATGTATAACCATGAAATATTCAACTCGGGAATAACTCGTGTTGAATAAACGAACGTAGAGATTAAATGAGTCTATAAATAAATAATATTACCGGACATCTAGAGTGATAAGTAAAACGATAAAATTTATCAGCGAATTGTCATATTTTTCTTCTATTTCCATCATTGTTATATAGTTATTTTACCCTTCGCTCTAAGCGTTGTAACACGTGTCATTTGTATTTTACATTATATTTTCGGACCCGGACATTTCGCCGCCACCGATTCGCCGCCAGACTCTTGATATATAAATTTTTTACTAACGCCTTTTCGAAAAACTTTAATTATTTTAGCTTAATTCTTCATTGCACAAGTCCTTAAAATCCAGTATAATGATAAAAAAATTAATTATATATATAATGTCACAAATTATTTAAATTTAATTTGTACTTAATTTAATTATTATAATTAAATGTTATCATAATTATAATATTCATTGTTATTTTTTCATTTTAACAATTAATACTATTGAAATAACTATATTTCAAGCATACTAATGCTCTTATTTATATGTATAGATGATAACCATGTGATATAATTATCAATTATTTATGTATATACTTAGCGTCTTATCATAAATTAGCAAACCTAGTTTTTGCAAATATTGTATATTTTTAATGAATAAGGTATAAAATACTCAAAAATTCTGTATCCTCTTGGATAGCTATTTAATCATTTTAGAAATTAAATAATTAAAACAACTTGAGTCAATGTTATAAATTGTTATTTAAAAAAAAATTGTCACTTTTAAAATAAACTATTCAAGCAATTTAAATGGTACATATGAGTATCGAATCGTATGGATGCGAATAACAAGATACTTTATTATTTTGTATTATTATTTATTGTGTATATGATATTTTGTTTAACAATAAATCAAAGTTTTAGAATGGTTAATTAGGGTAATTTTTGTTTTAAGAATACAACATATTAATTACTTTAATTTATTCTTATAATAGTTGTAATCGTATATTTTAAAATGAACTCTATTAGACTACCCAGTAGTATTTTGAATATTTTAAATATAAAATAATACTATATTTCAAGATAGAAGTGTGATATCCGTAAATTAATTTATTAAGTACAAATTATTTTAATATCGATAAAAAGTTGAGTTGACGAGTGAATGAATTATACTATTTCTAAACATACAGTAAATTAATAAAAAAGGAGTGTACCCATTAACCGTGTAAACTGGATTGGACCAGTAGCAACTGACTAGTGGTACTCAGGCAAGTTACCCCAAAATTTGGATAGCTTATTACTCGGTGGCTATTGGTCGTAGAGTCACCGAGTTTGCGATGGCAATTTTAGTTTTAAGTCCCTTAAGTAGTACGCTATCACTAGAAGAGTGCAAAATTTCTTCCCAGGGTTCGTTTTTGAATCCTTCCGAAACTAAGTACACCTCAGAAATACTACAGGAAACAGATCTCACGACCTACCTAACATATTATCTTTTTTCATTATTTCAACCTTATTTAAAAATAAACACATTTCACTTGAAACATCAATAACATATTTATATTGAATATTGATAATATTATTATAATATATATACACACAAGTAATTTTTTTTTTTAAATGTTCAAAGCCATATTTATTATGTTTTATTTATTTGATTATTGTAATAATAAAAAACAATAAAAAAATATATAACTTTAGTAATATGATCAAGTAGTGATACAAGTTTCAAGCTTATTTAAAGCAATACATTTTATTTAAATTAAAAAATTATAGTATACATTTTTAATCAAATACTCAATATTTAAATGATTTTTATTAAAAGACTTGTCTATGATCNTTTAAATGATTTTTATTAAAAGACTTATCTATGATCATACATAGATAATATTTTCTATGCATTATATATTATATCATAATATATTGTTGACTTGGTGTGTAATTTCACTTATTATTTTGAATACTCAGTTTATAGCATCATATTGTGTAGAAATATATATTTTTCTCCATTCTTAGTAGGTGTTAAGTGGATACCTTACACTAAATATTCTACACCTTATCAAAACAACATCAAGAAATTTTTTATTTGTAATTGGTATTTTTAATAATCAAAATTGATCACTTATGGCAAATATTATTTAAAATTTAAACTATATTAAAATTATTTAACTCCAAAAGCCACAAAAAAATTATTAAAAAATTGCGAATATGTATTCGGAAAATGTTACCATTATCAACACTTAACAAATACTTATTTTGTTTAATTCTGAATGGTGTCAAAGCCAAAATTATCTCATATCTATAAACTAAATTTTACATAGAAATACTAATATAGAAACATCCATTTAGTTAAAATAGAAAAAAAACTTTATTAGATAATAATAATAGGTTGGATTGGGGTAGTAAAGATATTTTAAAATATAAAGATTATTACATAACATTTTGTAATATATTGTAATATAAAATGTATTATTTATTGTGAATTCTTATTGTAATATAAATACTATTTGTCAATCTATGATATTAGAACTGTTTTGATTTAAACACTATTATTAATTGAGATACTAACTGGACCAGTGTAAAAACAAAATGTTTTGATTTTATCAGACTGAGTGTTATTATAAAATAACTTTTAGTAATTGAGGAGTTTAAATAATTTAACCATGTTAATTTTGCCATTGTTATAAGTTATGTTGAACATTTAATGAATATTAGTTATGCATTAGAAATATTTAGTTCTAATACAATCATTGTTATATCATAACGCTTGTTGATATTCCATTTAAAATATTACAAAAGGTTATTTTTAGAAGGGCGAATAAGCGATAATCACTGATAATAAATATTTACGTGACAAAACATCACCGTAAACATAATATTACATGTACTCTAACATAGAATTTGTAAATTAATTTAAACTTAAAATCATGATTTCCTATTAAATTTGGGGCGTAATCATATAAGTTTAAGTATTATAATTTTTAAAATGTGGTAATACAGCAGTTTTACTTCAGTCATGGAAATCAATACTAACTTTATTAAGGTTCTTATTTATCTGTAACTTATACATTTTTTAAATTATAGTATTCAACTATTGATTTTAGTTGTTTTGGCTGTTACAGTTTTATATTAAATACAAATAGGTGATTTTTTAAATAATTATAGCTGTTATATGACAGAATGTAAAAATTTAGATGGAATTTTCAATGTAGGGAGTGTTTTAAATAGTAATAAAAGTGATGATATTGTAAATGTGCAAACTAATTTTAATAGATTTTCCTCATATTCATCTCTAACTGAATCAAATTCCAAGTATAGAACATATAAACCAATAGAATGGACTTTGCAGGTAATATACTAATAAAATTTTATTCTTTAAGTATGACAAATTATAAAATAATATGTATTACTTTTAGTCTATTATGAGCTTGATTTATTCAACTAATTATGGTCGTTTTATTTTGACTGATGCAAAAGTAAACCATGAACATTTATCTAATGATGCTCAAAATACACTTACGAGACTTAATAAATTATTTATTTAAAGACAAAGCTCGGTAATATACACTATGTTATTTTAAATATTTATTATAAATTAAATATGTATGGGTGCAAGTTAAAATAGTTAACATGCATGAAAACTTATAGTTCTTATATAAAATAATCATAGACATTTAATTTTATACTAATTTAATATTTCTATTTATTAAACTTATGTTATATTAAATATTTGTTTTAGAGGAACTGATTTTTAATTTCGGAAAATTTCTTCAATTATCATTGAAATATTTCCAAAAGAACAAGAAGTAGGATATAGGTTTAAAACTATTATATTAATTTACATTTTTTTCAAAAAATTATCATAATCAATTAATAATAATAATAATAATAAATACATTTTTCAAATACCTATCAATAAATTTAATAATTAAAGCATTTTTTCAAACTAGAAAACTTTTTTTTAAAAATAGTTATGGTATCTCATTGTGACCAGACTTTGGACACACTAAGACATAGTTTAAAATAAATATTAAAAAATCAGGTTATTGTATCTATTTGATATTTGAATTACCTACCCTTTTAATAACCAATGTATTTTAAATGAAAACATAGTATAATATTTATAAATTTAACAAATTAGTTCAAAATTAATAAAATTGTGTATATAAAAGTTTTAATACATGTTACCTCAGCATTCTTTTATTAACTGATAGGAATTTTTTTAAGTTTAATTTTAATTCTATTAATAATATATATTTTAAGAAAACTGAATTATACATGCTTTTGTGAACATTAAAAAATAAAAATGAGTTTTAATATTAATATTTTTATCTCGTAGAAATGTATATTTTATACCATCAAGTCAAAATAATTCCATGCAAAAGTGGAATGTTGGAAAAATGTTGTACACCAGCTTCTGAATATAGGTGCTATTGAAAGTAAAAGATAAAATAAAAACTTCTATGAAACATTACTAATTTTAACATTTTCATTTTAACATTTAGTAATAATATTGTCAAACATTTGTTTTATATTCATGCTAATACATCCAATTCATTTATTTATTTAATATAAAAATTAAAATAGATGAAGCTGAATTAGCAAAAGTTTGGTTAAGCACAATTGGGTTGTCTTTTAACTTTGATGAGATTAAAAAACACTGAACATTAACTTATGAATAAGAAAGGCTAAAAATCGAGGTTTAAATAGCATTACTGAGTGCTATGGCTGGAAATGTCTAGTTATAAAAACAGCAACAAACTGTTCACCTTTAATCATTACTGTAAATTATTAATAAAATCTGAAATAGTGGTCCAAAAGTTGTTATTGACCAGTCATTTTCTTAATTAGATTATTATCTAACAAAAAAGCCAATAAATTATGTGTATTGCTATTATGAAAATTAAATTTGACTTCCTTATGAGGTAAAAGGGATGAACATAAAAAAATACTTTATGAATGATACATTTAAAGAAACATACTAAAAGAAACCAATAAAAAAATCATCAATATTTTTATTTTTTGATCAATTAAGTAGCGCATAATAAATTAATCACTTTAGTTCATCTATTTTAACACATAAAATTTAAGTGTATCTATATCCAATATCTATTTTAAATTATTTGTTATATATTTTAGTTGTTATTTTTGATACTTATCATATTTAAATTAAAAATTATTTAGATACTTGAACCAACAACATATTGAAACTTCTACTAATTCCATATCTAGTACCAAACAAAAACAAACAACGTCCTGGAAACCATCGTTAGTTGAATCTGTTTTATTTATTTATATGTTATATTGTAATTATTTATATAAATGTTTATTTTCAGAATTTAAATGATTCAGGATTCAAAATGATTTATCCGATTTAACACCAACTATCAAAAGAGTTTTAGGTAATGGTAAAATGTATGCTACTCTTAAATATATTCATAACTGTTATATAGTTGTTTTTTTAAAAATTTATATCTTGTTGTTTATTAATAATATATAGTATGTCACTGACTTATCTTTATTGTAATTAATTTGTAAGTGTATTTTGTACTTACAATTTACAAAAAGTAAATGATTCCATTATGTAATGTAATAATTTTTATATTTTAACATATCTTTACTACACCAATTCAAACTATTATAATTATTATCTAATGAAGTTCCCTTTTATATTTTAACTAAATAGATGTTTCTTTATTAGTATTTGTAAGAAATGAGTTTATGGATATTTGGTTATTTAGGGGCCTTGATACCATTTAGAATTAAACAAAATATCAACTGCAAATAAATAAAAAAAAATGTTGAAGTTGTTATAAGATGTAGACGATTTTGTGTAAGGTATCCACTTAACACCCATTGAGAATTGAGAATAATATGTATTTCTATAAATATAATGCTCTAAATTGGTAATTCAAAAACGGTAAGTGAAGTTACATACCAAGCCAACAATATATAATATAATATTATCTTTGTATGATTATAGACAAGTTTTTTTTAATAAAAATCTTTTAAATAATGAGTATTTAAGTAAAAATGTATACTATAAATTTTAAATTTAAATAAAATGTATTGCTTTAAATAAGCTTGAAACATGTATCACTACTTGATCATATAACTAAAGTTATATCTTAGGTAGACTCGTAGGTTTTAGGATTAATAAATAGGAATAGCTAACGACCCCCATTATCCATATCCTTTAAGTCATCTCATCAAATTTTTGTATTTTTCGACAAAAAATATTTGAATTTAAGTAATAGTAACATTAAAGCAATACTACAAGTAGAATTTAACTTAAAACTAAACTATAATTATATTAAAACATACTGTTGTTAAAACAACATCAAACTCTTGTAAATGCATACAATTAACGATTATGAATTTCTAACTTAACTCTGATATTATTTTAACTGCAAAAGATCCTTAGCTCAAAAACGATGTTCAGATGTGTATAACATTAACATCAATTGTTGATAAATTAACTGCTGATTTCTATTTGTGTACGGATGGCAATATAGTACATTAAGATATTTTGTTTTACAATTAATCAACTTTTTGAGGCCTATTAAAAAATATGTCTCTGGGGTCACAATAGGTATAATTCGGATCTACCTGTACCTCACCTCCTGTAAATATTTAAAAATGTATAACAATTTGGGATGTAAAAAGAAAAAATGCGCCGAGTCACAAAATCCCACAAAAATAAAATAGAAATTTCTAAAAAATATACGATGGTGGGGAGAGTTGGCTCCACCTACTAGCAAATAAACAATGATAATTTAGTGCGCAACCAATCGCAAACAAGAGGCGTTTTTTCAGCTCGCGAGGTAGGGCGCTTGGCATTCTATAAAACGATGTTTCTCAATATTCTGGAGTATTTTCACAGCAAGAAAATTGGACGAATAGCTACTCAACTTTTATATGTTTGTTTATGATGGTTTATTAAGACATCTGTACTTCATTTTTTTCCAGTAAATTTGTCAGAATTCCAGATTATTATTAATTTTGTAATACGTGAGTACCTATTTTCACATAATTATTAATGTACTTTCTAAGTCTCGCAGTCAAGTTAAACAATTACTCTCATTTTGTTATTAGATTTGCTTAAATGAAAATTCTGATAATTTAATAAAATTGTTAATTCCTATATTTATTTCAGTGATCAATTACAAAATTATGGGCTAAGCCTCTTAAATAGTCTATTGTTGTTCTATTGCTGTAATCTCGAACCAGGCGCAATATTCTGTTACTGGCTTCTACAAAAACTCTTAGTTGGAGGTGGATCATTGCCAGCAACCAAAAATTCATAATAAATATCGCGTTCGGCCTGAACTTTTTTCAATTCTATTATAAATTTCCAAACAGTTGGTTTTGTCATGCTCAGTTGGGCTTGTAATCTTCTATGAGCTGCTTCACAAATATTATTAGTTTTCTAGAATCAAGAAATTATAAATTAGTCAATAAGTATAAGTAAGTTAGTCTAAAATTAACATTATTATTAAGTTTTACGTTTATTATTAATGAACTGCTCTTGAAAAACAATACACTAATAGCTGGTTCATATTATACTCTAATTTAATTAGGTTGAATTTTTATATTGAAGGCTTAATTCAAAAACCCATGTACCAATTTTTCACAGTATAATAATATATTAAAATATGTTATCTAGTGGTATAAATATATTCAATTGCTTTCATAATTCTTAAATCTCATTTAAATCTAGATTTTTAAATTTTAGTAATATTGGTATTGTGTCTTTATTGACTAATGATTCAATGGTATGCTGAGAGTTTCGATTTTTAAATCTTTATTGTGAAAAAAATTCTGATAACAGAAATTTTATATATCTGTATTATAGCTAACATTTACAATTGGTTACACTGTTTTGTCAACAAAAATATGGCTGTTATTGTTTAAAAACTTGTAAAAATGTATGTCTTCCAATGTGGACATTAGAACTGATTGTATTAAATGAATTTTAAATATGTTTTGAATGAACTCTAGGTTCCATAGATAGTTAAATAAGTAAATAATCTTTCGATTATTTATATTTTATTTCATATTCTTCAATTTAATATTTACCATTTGTCCTGCATTAACTCTATTATAAAGGTTCCAAGTTTGTATAGGAAATGCAGGTATCCTCCTCACCCCTTCTCTTCTTAATAGTCCAATATAAAAAGTTTCAAGCCAATCCAATATTGGCTGTAATCTTGGATAAGTTACTTCCAATATCTCACTTAATTCTTCAAAACAACCGACTACATCTTTTGGTGGTACGAACGCTAAAGCTGTTACCATTCTAGCATGTAGATTGAAGTCGCTGTCATTTCTATAATCTCTACAAGGATAATTTATGTGAATAAATTACAATTTAAATAATTTGTAATAAATAGCTTACGTCATTAACCCTGCTATTCCCAATTGTTTTTTAAGATTTTGCAACAAATGGAAAAAACAACCTCTAATTTCTATATTAGGAAATTCTATTCTGAAGGCATTATAGATGGCCACTTCAAAATCCACAGATATACTCCCAACAATTATTCCTGGTACTAAGTTTTTTATTTCAACAATTAGCCGTAGGTAAGTTGTTTGTTCCTTATTTGAAAGTAAAGTATACAGGCAAGGATGTATACCTCCATTGCGAATACTTAATATCACAAAAACTTGAGAAAATAATTGTGGACTTATGTTGAAGGTTCCATCAACAAACCATTCATCGCATGTTGCTAGAATCTGGTAAGAAACAAATGAATATATATTATGTAAATATCTCATACTTATATTAAATTTTTAGCATAGTTCATTTTACTTCTAAACCTCTCATGCGACCAAATATGANATTTTAGTTGTTTAAGTTAGAGTTGTAGTGGAATCTTCGCTTTACGTTGATTTGAGTTCATTATTTTATTTACTCGCTGTTTTTGCTCACTATCGATGGCTACCTCGGTTCTATTTCCAAGTAGCAACCAATCACCCGGTCCCTTACCTTCCATGTCAAACATTAATTCGGATGGGGTAAAGCTGGTTACCGAATTCCTTTAATTGCGTAGTGCATAATGTAATGCTGGTAAACAAGTGTCCCAGAAACGATGTGATTTATCGCGTAGCTGAATTCTAAGACCTATTTTCAGCTCCTCATTACGTCGCTCAACCGGATTCGCTCGAGGGTGGTATACCGAAGTGGTCCACCCATCTGTCCCCCAGTCGTCTAGTGCGCGTGTTAGTTCCTTAGCTGTAAACTGCGGCCCATTGTCCGATAATTGAACTTGGGGAAACACCTCCCTTTCGAGAGTATCAATAATGACTAGGGTTGTAGCCGATCCAATAAGGAAAGCCGTTACAACCAAAAGAAATGTCTTTCCACGAGCTGAGCGAGGGTATGGTCCCATTAGAATCTAATGATTAGATCTATGTTCAGGACTTCCCACAGCTGATGGGGTGCTCTGGTGGTCTTCTGTCTTCGGGTTTCCGATTTAAAGGCTTGGTACAAGCGCATACTCGGCATTCAGTGGCTGCTTTCGTTGGATCCTCCCTAATGCTCTTAATCAGGTAATTGGATACCTGAGTCCTCGCGTTGCCACTCCCTTACCTCTTCCAGCGTTAAATGGTCACTAAAGTCCTGTTTGGCTACTGCCATCATAACGTCAAGTTGGTCATGTCTCTCTCTGTCAAGCGGATTGAATAATATCAATGTCAATATCTACTATGTTAATGCAGTTAGATAACGTGTCGAATTTACTTTCCAAGATTTCCATACGACAATTTTTGTGTTGTCTAAAAATTTTATTTGGTTTATACTTTCGCCGCGGCCCGATTGATTTTTAGTAACATCGTCAAAAATAGTATTGTTAACAGTTTTCTCGGTTTCCGTATCCATGTTTTCGATTTTAAATTTATAATTTTTCGGGTTTACGTTTTCCATTTCTCTAAGGTAACTTTCCAACGCTATTATTTTGTCGGCTTTAGTTCTCTGCGAATTTATGTTACGTTTCCGTAATTCTTTATATATTTCATCGATTGTTTGTTCCATTAATTGTTTAATCATTTTAATATAAATAAATAAACTTTAATGGTTAGACTAGTATTAACGAAAAAAATAAAAAAATTTTTCCTAATATCCCAAACTTATTTATTTCCGTAGTTTCGGTTTAATGAAATCGGTTTTTAATACTTTTGCGGTAATAAATAAGTTAAAGATGATCTAACTAGTTCTCTGGTAGTACATCAAGGTATTTACACGGTATTATTCAGCTCCAAACTTATTTATTTTCTTAATGTCTTACATCTTCTGGAGTACCCCAAGGTGCAATTCTTTCTCCTCTTCTGTTTGCTCTTTTCATTAATTCCGCACTATCTGTCCTCCGTTATTCTAAATTACTTATATTTGCTGACGACATGAAACTTTTCCTCCGTATCAATTCCTTATCTGACTGCCACTTACTACAAGATGATCTACTGCGGTTTACTAACTGGAGCAAATCCTTTGGCCTCTCTCTCAATATTAATAAATGCTCAATCATGTCATTCTTCCGACATAATACTCACATTTTTTTATTTTTACAATCTAAAAAAAAAAAAATTTATCATGTCGACTGCGCCAGTTGTCGTGGTAGCGGTTAACGTTACGACAACGATTTAAAATTAAATTAAATTAATATCAATGTTAATTAATATTAGTAATGAAAATAACTACAATTCATTTTTTAAATAATATGTATATATATTACGCACTTATTATACAGGTGTAAGTATACGATAATACTGCTAATCACCGGCGGACTTGATCCGTATTTATGTCAACGCCTACAGTCGCCGATAAGCGATAAGGCATCTCGGGATGTTTTAATGTGGAATTTAGTGAAGCACAGCACGGTCGGTGTATTAGCATCTTGATCTGGGTGATATCCAAATCAGTCCGATGGTAATACCCCGGGCGCGTCAATTGTTTGTAATAATTATATTTATCTATTTTGTTCATAGCTGCCTTGTCGGCCATTTTAGTATTAAGTGACCCCCCATCCACAACTCTATGATATTTTATATTTATTATTATTTTAATATATAACCCTTGTTTTCTAGTTCTTATCATTTCTTCTAGTTTAAGGACTATCCTTAATCCCACAGTCCACTCCCAATTTCTTTCTCCGGCATAATCATATGTCACGAAACCGAAAGTAACTAACTCGCACAATATTACCGGGAGTTTCATTTTAACATAAGATATAAGGGATATTCATTAAAAAAACTTTACGATTGCAAAAAAAAAAACATTGAATTAAAGAAAAAAACTTTAATTAAAAATCAAGCATCTTCTTTACAGTATTCATTACAAAAACAATTTATAACATCTCTCTTAACACTTTAATTGAAATTTATTAGAAGTTTGAATACGAGAATGTAGTATATTAAATTAATGCCATACACTGAAAAGAAATTGAGTTGATAATTTATTAATTGATAAATATAGTTTTGTTACTGAGACAGAATTTTGTTTTGCTTGTTAATTTTTCTATTTTACAAACAAAATTTTTTTTTAACATTAAAAGATATCGTATGGAAAGGAAAAAAATAAAATATTTCTAAATAAGTAATGATGATACAGAGAATCCATTATAAAAACTATTTATAAATTTTACTTTACATGCCGTATGGACAATAATCAATCATATAAAGAGGTTTATAAGTTGACTGAATTTCAATGGAGTCGTTTGTATCAATATCATTTTCATTATTTTCATCATAGTCATCTTTTACATCCTCTAAGTTAAAGGTTGTTATTTTCTTCCAATAGTATGAATAATCTTCATCCACATCTTCCTTATCTTTATAATATTCTATATCTTTTTTATTACTATCATTCGTAATAAAACTGTATATTTCAAAATGTGATTGAGTATTACAAATGCGATCTAAAATAAAATAAAAAGTGCAAAAATTTATCTAATTGGCTTTGGTCATAAAAATGATAGAGCTTTTTAAATAAAATTATCAAATGATATAAATTTATCTTTAATAATATTAGATTTGAAAATCAGTTAATAACAAAATTCAATAGTTAAATTTAATAAGAATTAAATTTAAGAATCATATTATTCTAATAATATGAATATAATTTATAAATAATGTGATAATTATCATCTTAAATGAAAAGACTAAATGATAGACCATAATACTTTTTAAAAGTACACTAGCTAATACCTTTTTTTTTCCCATTTTATTTTAAACACACGACCAAGATCAATTAATCACTAGTTAATACAACGTTATCAAATAACGATGGTGTTCGCGCCGAGTGTGCGAGCTGCACTGATTGGGTGTAATCAGGTGGTAGTGCTTGTGCGCTATCACCTGTTAAGACGCCTTATCAGTTTTAGTACCGTGTTGTTCGGTCGGGTTTTTTATTAAAAATGTAATGTTTTTCTGTAGTAGTAAAAATAGTCAATTTTTTCGATGGTGTTCAATAAAATTTGTTTTGTTTTTGTTTTGCGATTAAGTATATAAAAAATAATTGTTAATTTTTTTAATTTTACTATTCATTGTATTTGTAAAAATTCACTTGAATATTAGTCAGTATTGCATTTGTAAAACTACAGCAGAGTTATTATCAATTCAGTATTATTATTGTGCATTATGATCAAGACGGTGATGTATTAATTATGTTAATTTTATGAAATATAAACAATTCATGTCGAAGTTTAGTTTTACTTTCTGGTAAAATTTCCTATAGTTATATATGTTCATTTATTACTTTCAGTTACACAGATGACAGTTGTTATTTAAATCAGTAATTTATTGTGTTATATAGCTAACCATTGTCCTAATTGTGCCAAAACGACACTTATTAATTAAATTATAATTAGAAATCAGCCGTACGGCAAAGTTCTAATGCCCATGCATATCTGTGATCTTTGCTTTTAGAACAGCTCAGGCGGCAAAAGATGGTCTCTTACTATATATAAAATATTTTATTTATTGATAACGCCTAAATAACAAAAATTAATGAAATTTGATTTTCTATAATACAGCTATGATACAGTCAGGCAATGGACACTTCGATATGTAAACAAAAAGTAGCAGCCAATTTATTGAAGTCTTTGAAATTATCATTTTTGTTGTAACAATAAGAAGTAATACTGATTGTGTAAAAATGTATATTATATGAATTTTACTTTTAATCATTTTATTAATTTTCCATCATCTTTTATACAATATTTAATAAAATGGTTTATGTTTGTAATGTAAAATTCTGCAATAACTCGAGAAATGCTACCGAAAAATAAAATTGTAAAATGTTTAAAATACCAAAGGATTTCCCACGGTTAGTTTTTATTATTATAAATTAATAAAAATAATATTTGTATCTTAAAATTATTCTATAGTTATAAAGAATTCTAAAAAAATTGCAACAGAAATGATTTGTTACTAGTGATATATTAAATAAGTATTATATGGTTTGCAATATTCATTTCAACGTGATGTTAAGAACCCCTGGATATTATTTTATAATTGTATAGAGTATATAATAAATGGTCGTCCGACTGTCGTCGAACACAGGAATGTGCTGATCAAGGGTTTTAGGGGGCAACCATGGGAAAAGGACTCCCACTGTAGGTGCCCTACAGTCAGTCGTGGTTTAGTATGCGCTAGTTACACTCACTCTATATCATCCTAAATCATTCTATATCATTCTATGTCATTATATTTTATTATTCTATTCATTTGTATTAATATTAATTTAGTTCAGTTCAGTTGAACTTCAGACTTAGATCTGGACGGTTGTGTTTTAAACCGGTACGCGCGTCTGTCAATGTATAGTGTGTGTATTTTTATCTTATCTCTGTTATTA